ACAACTACAGCAGCTAACTTGGTATAAAGGTGGCCACCATCCCAAGCATCAAGTGTCTACTATGAGACTCAAAACAACCTACAAGGAAAAGCTGCAGCCATTTAGACAAGGTTTGCCATCACAAATGTGGAGACGACACACAGAATCACCAAGAACACCTACAAAACTTGTTAGGCATAAAAGTGATCATATAAATAGGCTGCCAAGAAATTACATTAACAAAATCAACATGACAAGGGAGTGAGTGTGTCTATTACACTCCAATATTGACTAGATTAGAATAGAATACTCCACGAACCTAGCAGACTGTAAATCAATGGAGTCGAGACAAAGAGACTGACATAAGATGGAACTTAAATGTGTAGCCATCATCAAGGGCCCTCTCTATCAGTTTTGAGAGGGGGCTTTCCCATGGAGCCATTTGTTTGCTCAAGGAGGATCATATGAGACCTCTCTCTGGTAAGTCAAAAAGGTTTACTTTGTGAACATATTAAAGTGTCTACTTTCATATGAGCCATTAACCACTACTATGGAGTGTGACATCACAAATAAATTCAATGCTGAACACGGGCACCCCAAAAACAGGCGGAAATTCCATATTTTGGCCTCTGGTAAAAAGAGTTAAACAGAAAAAACAAGAACAGTTACCTTAATGTTAATAGAGAAGAAAGATCCTGTGTAAATGAAACAAAGAAGAAATACATTTAGCACTTTTTGCAAGAGAGGCACCTCAATTATAAAGAACACGCCAAATTAAAGAGAATGGGCTTTAAATATGTATGTTCATCTTTTTACAAATCAGGGCATAGGAGAGAAGACTCCTTAACAAATTATAGACATCGTACCAGGCCCATTAATGCGCTGGTGGCCTCGGGGTTTAGAGGAGTTGGTGGTTGTTTTTAATACTGAGTGTAACGCTATTCTGGACTGTATAGCTCCATTTAAAAAGGTAAAATCTAAAGCTGTTTCTCAGCCCTGGATTTGTACAGAGAGTCGGTCAATCAGACAAAAATGGGGACAAGCACAGAAGAAATGGAAAAAAGATAAGCTCCAAGTCTCGTATGAGATTCTTAAAGACTGTATAGTAACTTATCAACAGTGCATTAAATCTGCCAAGGCACAGTACTTCTCTGACTTAATCTCAAAGAACCATCATAGTCTGAAAGTCTTATTCCGTGTAATAAATACTGTTTTAAATCATGTATTTCCAACGGTTGTTGAAAATGCAGGGACGGCTTGTGAAACTTTTTTTAAAATTTTCATGGATAAGATTACTGACATTAGAGCTAGTATCTCGAATTCTCCCCTGGTTCCTGGCTATACTTTAGCCTCTCCTGACTCGGTTACTGTTGGCCATTTAACTAGGTTTGAGCCTGTTACATCTTCTTATCTGTTAGAGATTGTTCACCTGAAACCAGCCTACTGCTCTCTTGATGTTATTTCTCCACGTCTGTTAATTCAGGTCTGGGATGTGGTGGGTTCCTCGATCACATCTATAGTGAATCAGAGTTTTATAGAGGGGCTAGTTCCATCCTATTTTAAGCACACCTTGGTGCAGCCTCTGTTAAAAAAAACCAAGCCTGGATCCGTCAGTGGTGAACAATTATAGGCCGATTTCAAAACTGCCTTTTTTGGCTAAGGTTCTTCATCAGGTACGTAATCAGCTTTCAACATTTTTAAATGAAAACAAAATCTCTGATCAATTTCAATCTGGCTTTAGGTCTCTGCACAGCATCGAAACTGCCCTTATTAAAGTAACCAATGATTTGCTGATGTCTGTACATGAAAGAACTTTTGCTGTGGAACAAGGAATTCTATATCTTCTTCTCAGCCTGTTTTATCTGGGGTTCCTCAGGGTTCTTGTCTTGGCCCTGTCCTGTTTTCCTTATATATGCTCCCACTGGGGTTAATCTGTCATAAACATAATGTGACGTATCACTGTTATGCAAATGACACCCAGCTGTATCTTCCGTTGAAATGCCATGATGACTCCAAACTCACATCGTTGCTTGATTGTCTGGATGAAGTAAAGGTCTGGATGGCATCTAGTTTTTTGCAGCTAAATGAGTCTAAATCGGAGGTGGTGATCTTTGGTCCATCGAACGTAGCTGAGAAGCTTGCACTTCTCCTTGGCCCCTTAGCCACCATTGTCAGCACGCATGCCAGGAACCTTGGAGTGGCAGCGGCCAGACTGTTGACTGTCACGAGGAAATGCTCTAGTATATCTCCGGTGCTGGCCTCTCTGCACTGGCTGCCTGTGGATTTTAGAGTGCAATATAAGGTCTTGCTAATGGTTTTTAAAGGGTTACATGGTCTTGCCCCTGAGTATACAGTGGTGTGAAAAAGTGTTGGCCCCCTTCCTGATTTCCAATCTTTTTGCATGTTTGTCACACTTTAATGTTTCAGACCATCAAACTAATTTAAATATTAGTCAAAAATAACATGAGTAAACACAAAACACAGTTTTTAAATGAAGGTTTTTATTATTAATGGAAAACAAAATCCAAAACTACATGGCCCTGTGTGAGAAAGTGTTTGCCCCCCCGTTAAAACATAACCTAATTGTGGTTTATCACACCTGAGTTCAATTTCTCTAGCCACACTCAGGCCTGCCACACCTGTTTGCAATCAAGAAATCACTTAAATAGGACCTGCCTGACAAAGTGAAGTAGACCAAAAGATCCTCAAAAGCTAGACATCATGCCGAGATCCAAAGAAATTCAGAAACAAATGAGAAAGAAAGTAATTGAGATCTATCAGTCTGGAAAAGGTTATAAAGCCATTTCTAAAGCTTTGGGACTCCAGCGA